CATTTCATTTTTTGCTTGTTTATTACTTTTGTGTAGAATACAATAGACTTTCATGTATTGTCTTGCAATCTTGCTAACTGATTTATTAATTCTAAGAGGTTCTTAGTGGATTCTTTAGGATTTACTAGATACAGGATGATCACTGCAAACAGAGATGGTTTTATTAACATTTTGCAATCTTCATTTCTTTATTTATTTTTCTTCTTTAAATGCACTGGCTAAAATCTCTAATATAAAGTTAAACCATAATGGTAAGAGTGGATGTACTTGTCTTGCTCCTAATCTTAGGGAAAAGCATTCAGTCTTTCAGCTTTAAGAATGGTATTAGTTGCATTTTTTTATGCTCTTTATGAGATTAAATAAGTTCATTTTTTTGCTCTTTATGAGATTAAATAAGTTCACTTCTATTCCTAGTCTGTTGAGTGTTTTATTATGAAAAATGTTGATTTTTAGTAAATGCTTGTTCTGCATCTGTTGAGATGATCATGTTGCAATACAATGTTAGCCTGAAGAATGAGTTGAAAAGTGTTTCCTTCTCCAGAGTTTTTGGAAGATTTTGTGAAGAATTAGTATTAATTATTTAAATGTTTGGTAGTGGTGGTGGTAGGGGAGCCTGAATTTTTTGTTTGTTGTTGAAAGTTTTTTGATTACTAATTTAATCTTTCTAATAGCTGTGCATTCAGTTTTTCTATATATTCCTTAGTTAGTTTTTACATTTATGTCTGGTTAGGAATTTGTCATTTCATCTAAGTTACTAACTTTTTGACATACAATTGCTCAATAATCCCCCTGTAATCCTTTTTATTGCTGAAAGGACATTAATGATATTCTTTTATTCCTGATTTTAGTTAAGTCTCCCTCTCCACTTCACTTAGAAAATTCAGCTAAAAGTTTTGTCAATTTTGTTGGTCTTTTCAAAGAATCAACTTTAAAAATTTTCCTGTTGGTTGTCTACTCTTTATTTCATTATTTCTTGCTCTGATCTATATTATTTCCTTCCTTTTTCTTGCTTTGGGTAGAGTTTGTTCCTCCCTTTTCACCCTCCGAAGGTAGAAGACTAGGTTATTGTTCTGAGATCTTGCTTTTCTAGTATAGGCAGACACATTTCCCTCAAGCACTGCTTTATTTGCATTTCATAAGTTATAGTATCTTGTGGTTTTTTTTCCATTCATCTCAAAATATTTTCTAAAATTTCTTATGTGATTTCCTCTGTTACTCATTGATATTATGGGAATATGTTTTTTACCGTTGACATATTTTTGAGTTCCAAATATACTTCTGTTAGTTTAATTTCATCCTGTTGTGATTTGGGAATATATTTTGTATGAAGTCACTTAAAATTTTATTTTAGCATTTTTAATGCTGTAGGATATGGTCTGTCCTAGAGAATGTTCTATGTGTATTTGAGAAAAATGTTCATTTGTTGTTTTTAGCTGTGTTAGATATTGTTGGTTTATATTGTCATTTTTAATTTATATCCTATTTAGTTGTTTAATCCACTATTAAAATTTGCTGATTTCAGTTTACTATTATTTATTCTTGAATTGCCCATTTCTACCTTCAAAACTGTCACTTTGGCAGTTCTGTTGTTAGGTGCAATGTATACATATATAATTTTTACATCTTCCCAATGTCTTGCCTCTTTTCTTATTATGAAATATCCCTCTTTTTCTCTAATATTTTTTGTTTTAAAGTGTATTTAAAATATATTTTCTGATATGAATATAATTACTCCAGTATTCTTATGGCTGCTAGTTGCATGATCTATCTTTTTCCATGGTTTTATTTTAATATATTTGTATTTCTGATTCTAGAGTGTGTTAGTAGATCTCTTTCAATTAGTGATGAATGACCTTTTGGTCATTTTTACCAGTGAAAGTGTTGTCTATAATAGGGGGTAATATATTATTTCATTTGTATGATTTATATAATTAGTATTATTATTTTTTAAATGTTTACATATCTCATATTGTTATCCTGGATAATGTAGTTATATTAATCAGATATAATCCCCTGTTATACAAAATTAAAATATAATTTAACGAATTTATTATCTTAATTTTCCTACTTATTTGAGAAGAGGATAAAATATATTTATTTTATAGCAAGATACCACATGTCTATAAACTTAAATTTGAACTTTTATCTCACTTTTTTTTAAGAGTAAATTAATGTTTTAAGAAATCCCTTTCAGGTTAACATATAGATTAAACCTTAGTTTTATATCAGTACATTAGTATTTGACCATAGAGAAAACCTTTAAATAGCTTTAACTGATTGTTCTACATACATATAATCAACTTAGTTACACATAAACTTGTTGAAATTTGCCCTTTACTTACATAGACCCTCATGTTGTTTATTTCTTTTTAAAATTGATTCTAAAAAATATAGGGCTGGGGATGTGGCTCAAGCAGTGGCGCGCTCGCCTGACATGCCTGCGGCCCGGGTTCGATCCTCAGCACCACATACCAACAAAGATGTTGTGTCCGCCGAGAACTAGAAAATAAATATTAAAAATTCTCTCTCTCTCTCTCTCCCCTCTCCTCTCTCACTCTCTCTTTAARAAAAATATAAATGGCAGTGGAATGTATTACAATTCATATATATAATATATATATCTCACAATTTTACATTAAATAATTTTAAATTCTAACAACAAATTTGAAGTTTGCTGATTCAAGCCATTACATCACAAGTTTTGATTATAGTAATAGAAGGCTGCTAGATATTCCCTGTTCTCATGGTACTATCTTCCTTGAAATTCTGTTGAAAAGGAGTGGAAAATTTTTAGCCACTGCAATGTCTCAATTATTTTCTTTTAACATTATTTAGAACTCTTGTAAGATGATTAACATTGTATATGCATATGCTGCAGGAAAGGATAGTTTCTAAAAATGACTCAGTAGCAGGTGGAATTAATAAATAAGAATATTTATGAATGTCAACTGGATGAAATAGGAAATGTGAGTTTTTTAAAGATATCTTTTGCAAAGAAAGGTTTAGCAAAATTCAAAGGAGTCAAAGTAGAAACTGTCTGATATAACAATGACTGATAATAATGTGGATAATTTCCATAGGTGATTTGTATAGAGAACTTAACTGTGTGTCAGACACAGTTCTAACATTTTTACATATGAACCAAAGATTGGATCATTACRTAGACTTACATGAATTGGTGGTGCTAATAGGATCAACCTTTATTTATAATTTCAAGGACATAAGCAATTAAGAGGTACAGGTAAAGCAGATTCCTGGATATTGAGAGAGGCAACCAGATTCTTTCTTACCACCATAGATAAAACTCTCAGGTTCAGAGCAGAAGATTTTTTTCATATAAGAAATTATATAGGCTATCTCATATAGAACGCAGCATTATAGGCCATGAAATATCTTTATTTTATATCCAGATAATTGTCTAGCTCATGCCCCATGTCCTATAAATCTGTAGATTCTAGGTTTGTCATAGTAATCCTAAACCAGAGGTATCTTGATAAAAGTCTTTAATAGAGAAGCAGTCTTTTTTTTCTTTTTTAAGTAAATGCTGTTAGGTTATTTTCCAACTATTAGCTTGATCATAAGAAAATTAGGTCAAGCTTTCCAACTTCTGAGAGAGCTTTGTACCTAACAAAACAGGATTGCTTTACTCCTTCCTTTCCAACAGATAAACTTATTTAAATTCAAATTCAATTACTTATTTTTTGTTTAGAACAAACAAGGTCAAATATATTAAACGAAGAACTTCTGATATGTTTTAAAAATCTTTTATTTCATGGTTTGGTATAATTTGGTTATAGGATTGGGGAAAGAAATATAGTGCTAAATATACAATAAAATAAGTATATTCCCATCACAGATACCTCAATAGTAATTTGTGAGTGTGTTTGTGTGTTGTGTATGTGCATGTATACTTCATACATAGTTTTTTAAAAATTTGTTTTAAGTAGTTATACATGACCACAGAATGCATTTTGATTCATTATATACAAATAGAGTACAATTTTTCATTTTTCTGGTTGTACACGATATAGAGTCSCACCATTCATGTAGTCATATATATACTTGGGATAATGATGTCTATCTCATTCCGCCATTTTCCAACTCCCATGCTCCCTTCCCTCCCTTCACTCCCCTCCACCCAATCCAAAGTTCCTCCATTTTTCCTTTCCCTTGCCCCCGCCCCCCCGCCCCCATTATGGATCAGCATTATCATCAACATATCAGAGAAAATATTYGGCCATTGGTTTTGGGATTGGCTTACTTAGCTTAGCATGATATTCTCCAACTCCATCCATTTACCTGCAAATGTCATAATTTCATTCTTCTTTAAGGCTGAGTCATATTCCTTTGTGTAATATATACCACATTTTCTTTATCCATTCATCTATTGAAGAGAATCTAGGTTGGTTCTACAATTTAGCTTTTGTAAATTGTGCTGTTATTAATATTCATGTGGCTGCATCACTATAGTATGCTGATTTTAAATCTTTTGGGTATAGACTGAGGAGTAGGTTAGCTGGGACAAATGGTTGTTCCATTGCAAATTTTCTAAAGAATCTCCATACTGCTTTCCAGAATTGTTGCACCAATTTGCAGTCTTACCAACAATGTATGAGTGTACCTTTTCCCCCACATCCTCGCCAACACTTACTGTTGCTTGTATTCTTGATAATTACCATTCTGAGGGGAGTGAGATGGATTCTCACTAGAGTTTTAATTTGCATTTCTGTAATTACTAGAGATGTTGAACATTTTTAAATATATTTGTTGATTGATTTTATATCTTCTCTTGAGAAGTGTCTGTTCAGTTCCTTAGCCCATTTATTTTTTTTAAGTTGAGTTATTTGGTTTTTTTTGGTGTTAAGTTTTTTGAGTTCTTTGTATAACCTGGAGATACATATATAGTTACTTCCTTTATTTAAACTTAGAATATTTAATGAATAACACAATGTTTTAATTTTCAATTTTCTCTATTTTTCTCAATCCAACTTTCAAATCAGGATGGTGATCCAGTTCGCCCAGGAGTGGCCATGACTGATCTTGCCACTGGCCTGTATGCATATGGAGCCATTATGGCTGGATTGATACAAAGATATAAAACTGGAAGAGGACTGTTCATTGATTGTAACCTACTGTCATCTCAGGTACCAATTCAAATAATATTTTCAGTAATAGTTAACAAATATGTGTTTGAGTTACATTTTCATATTAAATCTTATGGTTACATGTGCAAAAAACCCCCACTAAAACTGAAAAAGCAAAACAGGCGAAAGAAGCAACAGAAAATCATAACAAAAATTGTTCTGTTTTGATCCATGTTTTCATATTAAAATTAACAAACCATGAAGATTTTGTTGTAATATGGATGTTATTGAGGTAGAATTTTAAAGACTTCTTAATAGAATATTTTTGTTCTATCGTGAGCCAATGGTATAGTTTCTCCTACTTTATTGTCACATGAACTTTGTAACTACTATTCATTAGAGCTTCTTCACCTTTTATGTGCCTTGGACCCCTTTGGTAGTCTGGTAAAATTTGTGAGCTTATCTTGAAATCATATTTTTAAATTAATAAAATGAGATACTCAGCGTTACAAAGGAAGCCAATATATTTCAATRTAAAAATAATTTTTATATTATAATAACATGTGATTTTTACTAACATATTAAACTGGAAGATATAACAATGGGTCTAATATCATTACAATATTGAGACATGGTTGAGCATAGATGATATTTCAAGAAATCTGTAATAACTAATGTGATATGAAAATATATATAATATTTATTGGTGATAAAGTCATAGGTAGTGCTAATATTCTGGTGATTTTGTTATCTATATTCATAATTGAAGAAAATGCTAAATTTTTGTTAGAGATTTATGAAAATAAAGATATAACTTTTCTCATTAAAGTTAATTAACTTCTAGAATTCTGTCAATGAATTCCAGATTAACACCCCTAGTTTAGACAGTTATCAGTTATGTTGTGCTAAATACTAAACTGTTGAAATGAAAGGGTTAATGTACTCTCAACATGACATTTTGCCTCCTTTTTACTGGATCAGACCCAGATGCTATACCATATGTGGAAGTTGATTCTGAATAGATAATTTTTCAGGGTAGAAAAAAGAAAATATCTAATTTGTGCAAGGAGACATTTTACTGTGGGAAAAATTACTTTCTAGACATAGAGACCTCAGTTGGGAATTTCGGATTTAAATGGCATACATGGGAAAATAGTAAACTTGGAACACTGCTTTGGAGATTTTTTCTCTTAGGCAAAATTAAGGAGGTGTATGGAAATAAAAAAAATCAATATGGTTGAAGGTGAAACACTTTGTATGGGTTTTTAACAGCAGCTTTGATTCACATTTAGAATTTTAATGGTTTTATAAAAGGATTAAAGAACTCTCTTCAAATGAGTAGTTTTGTTCCTTTACAGAGAAATGCTTGTTATGGGAAGGAGCTAAAAATCTTTTCTTCCCTTTCTTAATTTTAGAGTGTAAGGCACCTCAAACCTCAGGTAGGTTAAATTATTGCACAAATATAGCACATCTAATAAGTATAGAAGCCATGAAGTTTTGATGGGTGTGTGACCTGTACAGTCAAGAGGGTCTGGGCTTAGTTTAAATGTCCTGTTTTAACTGTCTTGAAATTCTTAGAAATTTTTGAACAAGAGACCTATATTTTAAATTTTGCACAGGTCTCCCAAATTATGTAGCAGGTCCTGGAATTGGGACTCTACTTAAGTCTCCTGATCTCTACATAAGACTACTTTATATTTCAATTATTAATTAATTTAAATTGGAAAAAAGTTGTATCATAGGGTTTAAATATTTTCTAACATCTAACTAGAAATTCACGATGTGGAGTGTTTTTCTGTGGGGGAGCATTTGGAGGAGGATGGAATCACCTCTAGAGCTGCTTCAAAGTGAGTGTACACTCATGCATACATATACACAGATATAGATTTTAGTCATTTTTTTTTGTGTGTGTTGTGTGTTTGTATGTTTGTTGCCCATGTTGATCCTTGAGACTGTTAAGTTTCATGAGTGTAGGGACAGTGTTTGTTTTTGTTTTCCATGGTATTCTCAATGTCCTGCCTAGTGTTAGTCAACCCTAACTTTTCATAACAGAAAAATCTTAAACTTCACTTTGTCTTTCAATTTGAGTTAACATTCTATATTCAAAAAGAAAAAACACCAATCAAACCACAAAATGATTAAAATGTGCTTTATGTAAATGAGATGGGTTATTTCTAGATAGTTTTCATAGTAGCATAATAGGAAACTTTATCCCTTCTTTTTTAGTATGTATATATATATAYACTCATGCTTACCTGCATTAAACACAACATTTATACATAATTTTAGCTGCCTGGAAAATGAGTTTGATTTTATGCAGAGGTAAAAATCACTTTTCTACTTGTTTTGATTGCATTTCATAGGATAACATATGAATTATTTGTCAGCTGACAAAAATGAATCCTGTACTTTTCTTCAAAGTGATCTAGTGTACAATATACAAATTATACTTGATTTGACTAGTAGCTAATTATTAACTCAGAGWTAATTGCCTCAACCACAACAAAACCATTTCAAGTAGTTCATTGTGGAGACATGACAACTGCCGGGATGTGGTTTATAGTGGGCATCAAAATTTTTGTAGTTTCAAGGGTATAAACTTTTAACCCTTGTCACAATTTTTTCTTTTGATTTTTTTTTAGTCTTAATATGATTTAAAGTTGTTCACTTGAGATTGTCTAATGTCAGAATCTAAAATGTGTTCTTAGATGATATTGGTAAACAACAAGGAAGTGGGTTGGGATGTGGTTCCAATTACTGTGTTGCTCTTATTCCTCTATTGTGGCTCACAGAAATATCTTTTGGAAGTTTTAATATCCTTCCTGTACTTAATTGTAACCAGGCTCCCTTAATTACTTGCTACAGTGAGTTAGTTTTTTAGCACCATAATTATTTTCATGTATAGGACATTTTGTTGTTTGTGATACCACAGTCCTTTCCCCAAATTTGTATATTGTTTGTACTAAGTATATCTGAACATATTACTCATTATTTTAGCATATTTTTTGTCAATAAATTTTTGAATCTCAAACAAGTATATTTTTTCACTTGAATTTTAGAAATTCATCTTTTTGTATCTTCATATACCTATGCTTTAGCTTTCCATTTTACTCTTTTTCAAAAGTAATATTATTCAGGTGTATATCACAAATAAAATTCACCCTATACTGCTACAGGTTAATTATTTTTAGTAAATTGAGTGAGTTATGCAACTATTACTATAAATTGTGGTTGGAAATGAATACTCATATAATCACCTCTGTTCTGGGCTTAACCGTGAGGCTGAGGTGGACAAGTGTTGAGTAGGTAGAAATTGGGTAGGAAATGACTCAGGAGAATTCAGGGTCCATTTTGACTTCTGTGGATCCTAGGAACTTTTGTGTTGCTGGGCTCTTTCCTATATAATAATACTTTAAAAATGTGTTCTATAACAGCATTGATATAAAAGTACAAATATGACACATTATTATGTGTTTATTATTATTACATTCATTTTTATTATGATTTTAAAAGAAAATTAAGACATTTTTGCATACTGCTAAATCATTGTGAATATTGGACATTGTGCCTAATCATGAAGTCATTGTGAAGAATTATGTTGAGAATAATCGATAAGTTGGCAAATTTGTGGGGAGAGAAAGTTATATATTCAAGAAAGAAGTGAAGACTGAAAGCTGAGCTTATGCTGAAGCAGGGGCAGTGGACTGAAGAGTAGAGAGGCACATAGTCTATGACCAAAGAAACTGAGACAATAGAGTATAGAAAGAGAGCTCAAGAAATTAGGGAACTGTAGTTTTTGGTTTTTTAAATATTTTTATTAGTTGTTGATGGACCTTTATTTAATTTATTTATTTACATGTGGTGCTGAGGATCGAACCCAGTGCCTCACACATGCTAGGCAAGTGCTCTATCACTGAGCCACAACCCAGTCCAGGGAACTGTAGTTTTGCATTTGAATTTCCCTTTTTTGGGGTGAGGGGAGTCTGTTGCTTTCCAGTCTTAAAGGTGCTTATCAGCCTAACAATACTTAGTTTTCTGTGGCCAATTTTTTAAAAATATTTATTTTTTAGTTGTACACAACACCTTTATTTTGTTTATTTATTTTTATGTTGTGCTGAGGATCAAACCCAAGGCCTCTCACATGCTAGGCAAGTGCTCTACTGCTGAGCCACAACCCCAGTCCAACCAATTTTTAATTCTAGTCCAGCTTTCATTCTTTAACCAGAATTTTCCCTAAGACCTGTCATTACTCTATTGACTTAAACTCAGGGGATACAAATGAATATTAACATTAATCTGCAGTACCACATTAATTTGAGGATTTTTTTTTAATTCTACGAAAAATGTCATTAGAATTTTAATAGGGATAACACTCAATCTGTAGMTTGCTTATTACTTTAACAATGAATAATATTTTAATCCATGAATACAGGATATCTTGTCATTTGTTTGTGTCTTTTTCCATTTTTTCACAATGTTTACAGTTTTCAGTGTATGGATCTTTCATCTCTTGGTTAAATTTTGTTTTGTTCTTGATATTATTATAAAAGAGCTCATGTTCTTGATATTTTTTGGATATTTTGTTGTCAGTATATACAGTGCTCTTGGTTTTTATAAATTGATTTTGTATCCTGCAAYCGTGCTTATTAGTTGTAATAGTTGTTTGGTGCAGTTTTTAGGGTTTTCTGTATATTAAATCATGTTATCTGCAAACAGGAAATTTTACTTCTTCCCTTCTAGTTTGGATACTTTTTATTTGTCTTGTTTAATTGTTCTGTCTAGGACTTCCAGTATCATATTAAACAGGAGCATTCTTCTCTTGTTCCTGATCTTACAGGAAAAACTTACACCTTTTCACTATTATGCTCTTCATTGCATGTTTGTGATATATGGCCTTTATTGCATCAAAGTATATTTCTTTTATACCTTATTTGTAGAGTTTTTATCATGAAAGGATGTTGAATTTTGTCAATGCTTCATATGCAACAATGTAGGTGATTATATTTTTTATCCTTCATTCTGTTAATGTAACCAAAACAGTTTTGAATGAAAAGAACAAA